GGGGGGGGGATCTGTGCAGGGGTAGCATCCTATGCAGGTGGGTGCAGGTGGGCATCCTATGGGGGTCACGGGGGCACACGGCTCTGCGGGGAGGGGGTGAGGGTCAGGATGGGACCCCACCCCCAGAAACCTCCGGTCGCCCCCCCCTCGGGGCTCGCTCTCAGCCAATGGGCGGTCGCGGGGGGAGCGGGGGGGCGGGGCTTCGCGGGGCCGCTTGTTTTTTGTGAATGAGAGGCGGAGCGGCCCCGACTGCAGCGCGCGGCTCCGCGCAGCGCTCCGCGCAACGCCGCCGCTCGGCGCAAAGGGCTCCGCGCAGCGCTGCGCACCGCGGATGCGGAGCTCGGAGCGGCCTCGGCGCCGCCATGGGCCTTAAAACGCGCAGCTCAGCGCGGGGCCGCGCAGCTCCGATCCGCGCAAATTACGCCGTGATCATGTCAGGGGGGCTGCGCCCGGCCCCGGCCCCTGGGAGCCGCCGCTTCGTCTGTGTTGGTGTAAGTACGGACCTCCCCGTCCGCCTCCGCGCATCCTTCCGCTCGGGGGGAAGGAGAGGGGGGGGCACAGCCGTGGCCCGGCCCTATTGCGGTGCCCCCGGTCCGGCTGTTCCGGTCCCCCTCCCCCCCCCGTCCCCGTCCCCTTTGCGATCGGCCCCGGTGCTCCCTGCACTTTTGGCCCTATTGCGGTGCTCCCGGGCTGAGTCCTCCGCGCACTCCCGGCCCCATAACAGCGCCCCGGGCCCGCTGCTTCCCGGCCCTTTTGCGGTGCCCATCCGGACGCTCGGAGCACGCCCTGTCCCTATTGCAATGCCCTGCACCCGTTCCCCCTTTGCAATTTCTTGCATCCCCAGCCTGGTTGCTCTGAGCAGCCCTGGCCTCATTGCAGCGCCCCGGGCCTGCTGCTCCCCGGCCCTCTTGCAGTGCTTATCCGGATGTCCTGGCCCTATTGCAGTGCCTATTACACCCGTTCCCAACAACCCTTCCCCTTTTGCAACGCCCCATACCCGCTAATCTGCGTGCTCTGAGCACCCCTGGCCCTATTGCAGTGCCCCAGTCCTACTGCTCCAAGCATCCCAGCCCTATTGTAATGCCCCAATCCTAATGCTTTGAGCATCCCCAGCCCTGTTCAGTGCCCCCCGTCCCGATGCTCTGGGCGCCCCCAGCCCTCTTGCAATGCCCCCACTCTGTTTTAGGGGCTCTCCTCCCCTCGCTGGGTGGGATGGAGGATTTTTTTTGTTGCTAGGCAACGGCTCCCGGGGGTGATGGTGCAGTTGCCGTGGCAACCGCAGGTTCGGCAGCATGGAAAAAGCAGTTTGGGGTGTTTTGTTTTTTAGGAGGGGGTGTATTGGGGGCCCACGGTTTGGATATGGGGCAGATGGAGCATTGGGGAAGGAGTTTGCAGGGGGCAGCTGCGTGTGCTGATGGCTGAATTTGGGAACCCTATAAATAACTGCTGCAAAGCTCTGTGAGTCCTGACACCCCCTCTGGGGACCTCCTGACCCCATAGAGCAAAGCTCTGCTCCAAGGGAACAAAATGGGAACCAATCTCCAGGAGCTACTGGGGCAGCAAGCAGCATGCCCTGCGTCCTGCCCCCTTTTTGCCATGCCCCCAAGAAGCATCTCAGCTCCCTAAAAGCAGGAAGGAATGGGGCTGATGGTGGCAAATGGGGAAGTTTTGCTTTGAGGTCGGCCCAGAGCCACCCGGCTGTGATGCTTTGGGTTCGTGCTGCATCCCTGCACGGCCAGGTGTGTGCAGGAGGGAGCTGCTCACATTGCAAAGTCCTTGCCTCCATTCGGAGCTCCCCGCGTGCAGCGCCGGTTGCCATCGTTACGGGGTATTTTTGCTCCAAGGTTTTGTGCTGGTGGTTTATTATAGCATCTCAGGAGGGGGTGACAAGGGGGGAAGAGATGTGCTGCTTTGCAAAGTTCGAAGAAACTGGGATCTTTTTATTATTTTTTTGTTTCTCCTCCTCATCCATCAGTTTCCTCCGTGGGCATCTCCTTCATCCCAGCCCGTGTGCTCCAGGCATCCCCAGCCCTATTGCAATGCCCATTAGGATGCACGGAGCACTCCTTGGCCCTGTTGCAACGCCCCCAGCCCCAGTGCTCCCAATATCCTTAGCCTTATTGCAATGCTCCTCCGGATGCTTAAAGCACTGCCTGGCCCTACTGCGTTGTCCCACCCCCATTCCCAACGTTCCTTCCCCTATTGCAATGCCCCCCACCCTCAGGCCCAGTGCTCCCCATCCCCACTGCAGTGCATGGAGCGCCCCTCGGCCCTGTTGCAATGCCCCACATCCGTTCCCTGCTGCAAGGAGTTAATTCTTGCAGATTTGAGCTCTGAACGGTGCTGCTGCTGTGCACATGGGCCTGCAGGATGCGCGCGCTTTGCATTGGGCTCACAGCTCCGTGCTCCTCGGGGGAGGTTTCATGTTGCACCTGGTGCTGGGAGGAAATGCAATGAGCATCTTTGCTGCTGTGGGTCAGAAGCAGGAGCAAACAGGGTGGGAAATTGGGGGGAGGTCGGTGCTGGGGGCGCAGAGCCCTGTGCTCACTGTGCATGGAAGCGATAGGGGTTGGCGGTGCTGCTGTGCGTGCTCCCATCTGGAAGCTTCGCTTGCAAATGCTGGGAAGGGAGAAAGGGGAAATAAAAATAAAAAAATAAATAAAAGCCTCATCTCACATGAACAAGCATGAGAGAGGGAGAGGGAGGGAGGGAGGGCATGTGTCTGACGCGGCACAGCAACGCACGCAGCCACGAGGATATTAAATTTTAAAGGGGACGGGCTGGGATGCGTGCAGGGAGGAAGGAGGCAGCCGTGCTTGCTGGTGGCTGTGAGCATCCTCTCGTCGCTTCTTCCCCCCCAGGTCCCAATTAATGGATTCTGACATGGATTATGAGAGGCCAAACGTAGAAACTATCAAGTGCGTCGTGGTCGGGGACAACGCGGTGGGCAAGACCCGGCTCATCTGCGCCCGCGCCTGCAACGCCACGCTCACCCAGTACCAGCTCCTCGCCACCCACGTGCCCACGGTGTGGGCCATCGACCAGTACCGTGTGTGCCAGGAGGTGAGGGAGCGACCCCGTGGGGTGGGGACGGAGCTGGGGCTTCCCCGTGGGGTTCCCTCCTCTGTGTCCTGAGTTCAGTGGCAGTGGTCCCCTTGGTGGCAATGGTCCCTTTGCTGGGATGGTAAAGAGGTGAGGGACCGGCCCCATGGGGATGGGGATGGAGCTGGGGCTTCCCTGTGGGGTTTACTCCTTTGTCACGAGTTTGGGGGCGGTGGTCCCCTTGGTGGGATGGTCAGGAGGTCTGGGACCAACCCTATGGGGATGGGGCTTCCCCATGGGATTCATTCCTCTGACCCTTGGTGGCAGTGGCCCCTTGGTGGAATGGTCATCTTGGGGGCAATGGTCCCTTTGCTCGGACGGTAAGGAGGTGAGGGACCAACCCCTTGGGGATCGGGATGGAGTTGGAGGGTAAATTCCTCGGGGAAGACTCACGTCGTCCCCTCGGTGGGACTGCCCCATTGGGGGGATTTGGGGACTTTCTTCATGCAGAGCTCCAGGATTCACAGTGTTTTTGTTGCCACAGGTGCTGGAGCGCTCGCGGGATGTGGTAGATGATGTCAGCGTGTCCCTGCGGCTCTGGGACACCTTTGGAGACCACCACAAAGACCGGCGCTTTGCGTATGGCAGGTAGGGGAGAGGAGAACCCGGTGCTGAGGTGGGAGGTTCCATCACCTGGGTGGATCTTGACCCTTTTTTCCCCCTCTCAGATCCGACGTCGTGGTTTTGTGCTTCTCCATCGCCAACCCCAACTCCCTGCACCATGTGAAGACCATGTGGTACCCGGAGATCAAACACTTCTGTCCCCGCGCGCCCGTCATCCTGGTGGGCTGCCAGCTGGACCTGCGCTACGCCGACCTGGAGGCCGTCAACCGGGCACGGCGTCCCTTGGCCAGGTGGGAGACGTCCGTGCCCCCGAATCCTTTCTCCTTGCCATGCATGCAGAGAGGCCGTAGAATCATAGAGCTGGAAGGGGCCGTCTGGTCCAACTCCAATGAACGGGGAAACCTGCAGCTGGGTCAGGTGCTCAGAGCCCCATCCAGCCTGACCTCGGGTGTCTCCAGGGATGGGACGTTATCTTCTTTATTATACGAGGTTTCTTCATCACCTTCATGATTTCCTCTTCTCCAGGCCAATCAAACCCAACGAGATCCTTCCCCCGGAGAAGGGAAGGGAGGTGGCCAAAGAACTGGGGATCCCCTATTACGAGACGAGCGTGGTGGCTCAGTTTGGCATCAAGGACGTCTTCGACAACGCCATCCGTGCCGCCCTCATCTCCCGCCGTCACCTGCAGTTCTGGAAGTCCCATCTACGCAACGTGCAGCGGCCCCTCCTCCAAGCCCCCTTCCTGCCCCCCAGGCCCCCTCCGCCCATCATCGTGGTGCCGGATCCCCCGTCCAACAACGAGGAGCACCCGGCCCACCTCTTGGAGGACCCCCTGTGCGCGGACGTCATCCTGGTGCTGCAAGAGAAGATCAAAATCTACGCTCACAAGATCTACCTCTCCACCTCCTCCTCCAAGTTTTACGACCTGTTCCTCATGGACCTGAGCGAGGAGGACCAGCAGAGCAGTGCAGGGCATGGTTTTGGGGTTGCCGTCACCGCAGCGGCCGAGAGGATGCTGCACCAAGAGGAGAGGCATCACGGACGGGATTTCCTCCTCCGAGCTGCGAGCTTTGATATCTGTGAAAGCACCGAGGAGGGCGGCTCCGGCCAGCGAAAACCGTGCCTTAGAGCCTCCACCAGTGATGGGATCCTACGGGGGAACCGCTACGAGAACGGGGAACGCGGGCTGCGACGGGGACGGGACCTCTCCTCTTGGAGCCGGGCCTTCATCAGCATCCAGGAGGAGATGGCCGAAGACCCGTTGACCTACAAATCCAAGCTGATGGTGGTGGTGAAGATGGATGCTTCCATCCAACCGGGCCCTTTCCGGGCCGTGCTGAAGTATTTGTACACCGGGGAGCTGGATGAGAAGGAGCGGGACCTCATGCACATCGCTCACATCGCGGAGCTGCTGGAGGTGTTCGACCTCCGCATGATGGTGGCCAACATCCTCAACAACGAGGCGTTCATGAACCAGGAGATCACCAAAGCCTTCCACGTCCGGAGGACGAACCGGGTGAAGGAATGCCTGGCCAAGGGGACTTTCTCGGGTACGACCCCGTCCCCTTCTCTCTTGCCCGTACCAACGCTCTGAGACGCCGTGTGCTCTGCCTTCCTTGGGATTTTGGTGGTGCTCACTTACAGGCGTTGCGTTTCTGGGTTTTTCACCTCCAAGCTCCATCCCAGGCCATGCAACACCACGTTCTCCCTCTAATTGAGTTGGTTCACGTGGACAGACCAAGGGGGGCTGTGGGAGCCCTGGAACAACCCAGGGTAGAGCAGAACAGGGGTTGCTCGTCCTTGTGAGGAGCAGGGAGGAGGATGGGGACATGCTCTGCAGTGTGTGGGTGAGGCTTTTCTCCCCGAGTTTTGCCCTTTGCTTTCCAACACTGTTCACCTTGGGAATGCCCTCGGGCAGGGCTGTGCACGGTGCCGTGGGTGACGTAGCCCTTCCCTGAGTTCCTTGGAGGATGCTGGAAAACAAACACATCCTTAGGGCAGAGTACAGGGCCGTGCGTTTGTCCTTCTGTCTCCTTGCCTTTGGTGTCCTGTGGTGGGGATGGCTGAGCCCTGTGTGACAGGGCCGTCCCTCTGCTCATTTGCAGATGTCACCTTCGTGCTGGATGACGGTGCTATCAGTGCCCACAAGCCCCTGCTCATCTCCAGCTGCGACTGGATGGCCGCGATGTTCGGCGGTCCCTTCGTGGAGAGCTCCACTAATGAGGTGAGGATGCGCTCGGGGAGGGTGTGGGACAGCCATGGGGTGACCGTTGGAATCATAGAAGCATTTAGGTTGGAAAAGACCTCCGTGATCATCAAGTCCAACTATCAACGCATCCCCACCGTGCCCATAGAATCATAGAGTCATAAAGCTTGGAAAAAGCCTCCAAGATCAGGTCCAGCTGTTGACCCGTCGCCACCATGGGTGTGATTCTTGCAGGTGGCACTTCCTTACACCAGCAAGAGCTGCATGCGGGCCGTGCTGGAGTATCTTTACACGGGGCAGTTCAGCTCCAGCCCTGACCTCGATGACATGAAGCTCATCATCTTGGCCAACCGCCTCTGCCTGCCCCACTTGGTGGCTCTTACCGGTGAGTTGGTGCCCCCAAAACTTGGTGGCAGCTCTCTAATCACCCCATCCCAACTGCCCCCCCTAAGCCCCTGCGTGTCCCACAGAGCAGTACACCGTCACCGGGCTGATGGAAGCTGCGCAGATGATGGTGGACATCGATGGGGACGTGCTGGTGTTCCTGGAGCTGGCACAGGTAGGTGGGATGGGATGAACGAGGTGGGGGTGACACCGCCGCTGCGGAGAGGACGGCAGGATCGGGTCCTTGATGCCCGCGGGGATTGGGGACCTTGGGATGGATGAGGTCCCCACGGTGGCTCTGACGCGTGCTCCATCTCCCGCAGTTCCACTGCGCCTACCAGCTCGCCGACTGGTGCCTCCACCACATCTGCACCAACTACAACAACGTCTGCCGCAAGTTTCCCCGCGACATGAAGGCCATGTCGGGAGGTGAGCGCGGTCGGTGTGGGGCGGTGGGGACGCTGGGGACACCCAGCACTGTGCTCACCCCCGATGTCCCCGCAGAGAACCAGGAGTACTTCGAGAAGCACCGCTGGCCGCCGGTGTGGTACCTGAAGGAGGAGGACCACTACCAGCGGGCCAAGAAGGAGCGGGAGAAGGAAGACTACCTCCACCTCAAACGGCAGCCCAAGAGGCGGTGGCTCTTCTGGAACTCCCCTTCCTCCTCTCCTTCATCGTCGGCGGCCACAGCCTCCTCCTCTTCCTCCTCCTCCTCCTCCTCGGCTGTGGTTTGATCCTTGCTGCGGCTCCAGGAGATGAGGAGGAGGAAGGCCGCCCGGCGCCCGTTGGGTGCCACCAATGGGTGCCCCCAGGAGATGGAGGGAGTGCATCCCCACAGCGAGGGCTCTGCTGTCCACGTGCCAGCGCCGGGACTGGCACAAAGCAGCAGGAGAAGAGGTGACAGGAGCGCGAGGGCTGTCTGGTTTTGTTTTCATTCATTCTTTCTTTCCAACATCAACCGCATGAGGAAGAAGAAGAGAAGCGTCCTGCTTCCACCTTTCAGTTGTAACCAGGAGCTGCAGGGTAGGGTTGGGTTTTGTGGGATGCCATCCTGCTGCCCCTTGGACTTGCAGTAGGGTGAGGAGGGAGCCCGGTCCCCAGAGGACCAAGGAGAGGATCCTACTTGGCTGCAGGAGCCACGCACCGCAGCTCCATCCGCTTCCATGGAGGGCTGTCCCAGTTTGGGCAACTGCTGGGAAAAAGAGCCCCTCTCCTCCACCTCTCCCCGTGGAAAGTTTGGGCCTCAGCAGTGCAAGAGCCCAGGGTGCACACGTTTCACCAAAAAGAAATTTGAAGCAAAAAAAAAAAAAAAAAAATTACATATATATACATACATATATAAATATATATATATATGTATGTATACATATATAAGACCACCAAAAAAGCCAAAAGAAACCACCAACCCCCACCCCCAACACCCAACCCCACGCTCCCAGCCTGGGAGCCGAGCCTGAAAGGCTCCGTTGTAATAAATGCTATTTGAAAAGCCCAGCGTAGTCCCTGTGTGTTTGGGAGGAGCGGAGAAGCACCGCAAGGATGCAGCCCTTAACAACCCAGATCCCGTGGCAGCGATGCTCCTGGGTGATGCTCTGTGTCACCGCTCTTTTTGGATGCTCAGCCGTGGATGAGGGAGCACAGGAGCAGATGCAGCGGGTGCAATGCTTTGCAGCAGGTAGGATGAGGTTTTGTTCCCTTTGGAAAGCATCCCCACCGTGCATGTCCTGCAGGAGCTGCCCCTGCTGGGTTTGCATGCAGAGCACAGTGCCAGGCTGTTGTCCCCCTCCCTGTGCTGGCAGCTCCTGCTTTGGGTGCTTGCAATGAGAAATGCCCTGCATGTGATCCAGCAGGATGGCTGGGGGCAGCTCTGGGGTTTTTGCAAGCACCGCATGGATTTGCATTGCAGCTCCAGCAGCACACAGCCTGTTTGCACCAGGGACCGAGCTTGCAGCCTCCTGCTTCTACAGGCAGCTAAAGAGCATGGGACCCGTGGCAAAAGCAGCAGCAGTTTGCTGCTGAGGACCTGCAGCAGCATTGCTGGTGGGGATGCAGAGCTCTGCAATGTCCAGGGCATGCGAAGCTAAAACGTAACGGCAAAGCAAAGGGGAAAAAGGGATGAGGAATCAGGATTGTTGTTTTTAAGTTTATTCTTCCTTCATAAAGACAGGTGTAAAAAAAAATCCTGGATAAAACTAACTGGCTGGGCCAGAGCTCTGTATAAAAACACACCGTCACGCATAGTAAAAAAAAAACCAAAAACAACCAGCTATTTTTATATTATAAGTTAACGTATGTACACGTTTGCAATTAATAAATACATAAATACAAAAGTTCTGCTGGTATTTGGCACAGGGCTGGAGAGGACGGAAAGGGGCGCAGCGGGGGCTGCCCACAAACCTGCGCCCGCGCAGGGGGAGCTCCAGGTTGGGCTGCAGCTCCATCGCCCTGCAGCACCTCATCCCTGAGCTGTGCGTCGTCCCCGCAGGTGGAGGAGCAACCCAGCCAGCTGGGGGCCCCCACGGCCCTGGCAACGGGAATGAGCCGAGCTGCCCTTATTTCAGCCGCCTCAGTGCCGACGAATGGCGCCCGCGTCGCCTGCAGTCATAGAATCGTGGACTTGGGTTGGAAGGGGCCTTGAGGATCATCCAGTTCCAACCCCACTGCTACAGTCTTGTGTCTACTGCTAAGGGCAAGCAGAACTAGCTACAGATGCAACTCTAAATAGATCGTAGGGGTAACCCAAGAGCCCCAGGGATGCTCGCCCACCACGCATGCAGTACGAATCGTGACGGTCGGCTCGGAGATGTTCTACAAGCAGAAGTATCACTAAAAAAATTAAAAAATTAAAAACATCGATCCAGTTAGAATCAGTGAGCGCCCGCACCAAGCAAAGATGCAGTTCTGCACCGAGGTCTGTATCAAATCAGTGCTGGTGAATGAGATGATCTCAAAGGCAGCTTGGAAGACCTTTTGGCTCGTTGCGTCGGCCAAATGAAATCAAGGCACTCGCGTGGCTTCCATAAGGCAGCACCAACGCTGAGTGTGGCGGAGAAGAACCCAGCTGGGATCGACTCCTCCAGGCTCAGCTGAACAGTGCGACGGCTCCGGGAGGAAGGAGCCATGAGAATACTATCACAAAGATCAAGATAAGGGTTCTCAGAGGAATCCGCATCTTCAGCTCCAGCTGGGGAGGCGCAGGGCTGGCTGCGCTCCTCAGCTCACTTCGTACTGGAAATATCCATTCCTAACGAGTTTGGAGGCAATTAGGTCTGCCACGCCGCTGAGGCTCATCTGGGACAGGGTCTCCAGCAGTGTATTCACGGAGGCTTTGCTGCCTTCTTTGTTGAACCACATGTTGAGCATCTGATATAAGGGCTCCCCTGAGCCTCTGTCGTTCTGCTCTGCCTGATAAAGGTTGTTTTCCCGCAGACCGAGGGCTCGGCCGAATCTCCTCCATTCAGGGAAGGGCACAAACTCGACAAAGGTGTTGAAAGAGGAAGACAAAACTGGAATGAGAAGGGAGAAGCTCAGCGAATGCGGATATCTGGACTGGAAGAGCTTTCTCAGAGCCCTCAGGCTCAGCCCATCCCTGCCCACCAGCACATCCCAACACTTACCAGTTAGAGGGTCCTTTCCTGGCACTGGCACCAGCTTCTTCTGGGTTTCCACGTTGGGATTTGAAGTTCTTGGTGCCACCTCCTGAAAAAGAAGCGTATTACAGCACCCAGAGAGCTCTGGCATGAGCACCATCCCCCCACCCTGCTAACAGTGGGGTCAGGGAACATCTCTGGGCACTGCTGGGGCAGGAGATTGCCACGCAGCCCTGGGATGCTCCTCAATGGGGGTGATGGGTTCCTAACACCGGGATCCTGATAGCTCATGGGTGCTGGGCAGGGGGAGGTTTGCTCACTACTGAGCGTAGAATGAATATTATGGGCACAGAACATCTCCGTGCCCATCTCCATCTCCATTCCCGTCTCCACCTTCCCCCGTCTTCATGCAGACACCCTGGTTCAGCTCTGGAAGGCCTTGAGTTAATCAGCTCAAGGTGGAGGAAAGCAGCAGAGCTCAGCCATGCAGTGCCATACCTCCATCTCCACACCACGGGGAACCTCTGAGCCCTGCGCTGCGGTGAGCAGCTGCTGCTGCTGCTGCTGGTTCAGGAAGATCTGCTCGTTGCAGTTGTTGTCCTGAATCCCCATCCTCTGCAACAGTCTGTTCTGCTGGAAGAGAAACGCAGAGCAGCCAGGCTGGAGCCCCCCATCCTGGCAGGGGGGGCTGCAGGTGAACCACCCCCCCCTCACCACAGCATTCCCATGAGCTGCGAGCAATGCGGGCAGCAAGCAGAGCAAAGCCCAGCACAACTCACCACCACGGCGCTGGGCTTCCTGCTCAGACCTCTGCCACCCCCTGGAAGAAAAAGCAGCGCTGTCACCCTTCCTCTCCACAGGACGTCCCCTTCCTGCCCACACCCTGTGGGGTGAGGACCCCACGTCTACGGCCCGCGATCCCCCTCACCTGCACAGTAGTGTCTGCAGCAGCACCATGAGAACACCAGCAGGAACACCAGGACCACAACCACCACGATGATGGTAATGATGCCTGCTAAAGCAGACAACATGGGGGTGTGGGGAGCTGCTGCCACAACAGCAGCCCCCAATCCTCCATCCCTCTCCCCATCCCAAACTCACTGGAGAAGCTGAAGGAGATGTCCAAGGGAGGACCGCACTGCAGGTCGCTGTGCTGCGTGCATGGAGCTATCCTCACTTGTCCTTTGGGGCACCTGGAATGGGGGATATGGGGCAGGTTCAGCACCCGGGGATCCCCCCAGCAGCCCAAGAGCTCCCCAGCTCCCAACTCACCGGGTTTGGCACTTCTGGCACATCTCACAGGGGTGGTCAGGTAAGCAGAAGGTGCCGTTCTTGCAGGCGCACTGCGTGTTCCTGGTGGGGATGCAGGGACTCACCTCCACCTGGTCTGTGGGCAAGAAGCAACACAGCTCTGCTCAGGCTCTCCCATCCGCTCCCCCATGCAGCCAACAACCCACAAGCCCAGGGAAGCCCAGCTTGCTCCCCGGGGTGGAGTTTTGCCATGCCCACATGCCAAAGCAATGATTGTATTAAAGCTCCCGCAGCAGCCTGCAAGCACCGCCATGCGCCCAACCCCCCGCAGTCCTTGCTGGAGGACTCACATCCCAGCTTTGCACAAGGGATGCTGTGCCACTTGGAGATGCAGATCTGGAAGTATCCAGTACACCAGGTCAGGATGCAGCCTGCTCCCTCCATCCCAAGCACACCCAGCACGAGCTGCTCCTCAGGGCTGCTGCAGATGTCCTCTCTCCTCACGCAGAAGCTCTGATAGCAACCCTCCCTCACACCACCTCATACCTTCCCTACACGTCCGGCAGCCCAGGCACTTGGGGAAGTCGTTAGGATACTCGGGGTACTCATCTTTCTTACATGGGAGGCACTTGAAGGAGTCATTTGCCAAATAAGTGCCTGCAAGAAGGGGTGAAACGGAAAGAAGTACGAGTTAATGCAGCACACTGGAGACACGGCGCTGCCAAGACGTGGAGATGTCATTGCAGCAAGAGCTGATTCTGCTGTCACTGAGTTGCACGGAGTGATGCTTGTGGCTGCCTTACCCATAGGACACTTCTTGCTGTAGAGGTCTGGTTCCAGGACATCTGACTCGCCTGCCCGCTTCTTCACTGCTGCAGCAGATCCCAAATGAACCTTCTGTTAAAAGCACAGGAAAAACGGGTTAGAAACACCCCAAACCCTTGGTGCAAAGGAGAAGCATCGCACTGGGACAACCCGCAGCTGCTGGACCCGATTATGCCTGCTTTCCTTCCCCAGTTTCTGAGCACGTGAACCAACAGAACGGAAGAAAGCAGCACGGTGCCGTGCAGGGATAATGCAGAGCAGCAAGAGAGGCGGTGGGGAGGAAGGCTGAGCTGCTCCCACCGTTTCCACACCACTGGGGCCCCAGGACAGGGCGCAGGGACACGTGGCAGAGGCTCCGTACCCGCGCTGTGCCCTTCCCATAGCCCGCCTCGTAGAGCACATATTTCTTCCCTGAGTCAGAAACGCTGAAGCAGCACCTCCAAGGCACTGCAGGAGCAATATTGGCCCCCCCCTTCCTCTTCATCACTTCCCGCAAGGAAGGGTGTGGGCACAGGCAAACAATGACATGGAGGGGACACCTCCATAATGGAGGACCGAGGCCCGCGCTCACCATCAGCATTGCTCTGAGGAAGCATTCCTGGAGCTCTCCACCTCCCCACCTCCTCTGCATTGGGGCAGGGAGCAAGAAGAGAAATGAGAGCAACTCAGGTCCGGGTCAAAACGCCTGCCTGAGCCGTTTGGGTGTTCATGAAGGACAAAAAGCCTTTTTCTGTCTGACGCAAATCCTTTGCCTTCCAACACCTTTGCAGTTTTTAGGGCTTCACCAAACCGAGACCTGGGAGTTTTCACGGACGGAGAGCGCAGTGCCTGTCCTCATGGGGAAAAAAAGCCCTTCCCCATTCAAACCCTGCAAAGTTGATCTCACCAACAACACAACCCCGCCTGCCGTTCAGAAGGGCCCCTCGTGTGTGGGATTTCATCACTGTCACAAAACAGAACTGTGCACGATAAAGTTATCAGCCTTCCCAGCCCGTATGGCAGCCCTGCAAAGCACCCAGGGCCAGAACCCACGTGCGCAGGAAACGTCCCCAGCACCGCGCTGGAGGAACCGCCAGGCAGAGGAATCCAATATCCTCATCTGCTCCAAGCAGAACTCTGTGCATTTTCCTTCTTTTCTGCCTTTTTTACCCAAGGGAGGCACTGGACCATCGCAGCACCGATCCCACATGGAACCTCACACCGTCCTGATGGCATTAACACAACGCCAGCTCTCCATTTTGGGAAGAGAGGCTGTAAGTAAGCCCTGAGCCATTTCCAGCCACACCAAAGGGGTTTTCCCACCGGGCTTTACGCAGTTGGAGTTTGAGCTCTGGCAGATCCAGAGCCATTGCACACAACCCTCGTGTGCTGGTGGCCCAACTCCAGGCATGATGCAAGGGGCAGCGGCGCAGCATCGGGCGACAGCCATGTGCAGCACCGAGTTAAACAGTCAAATAAGGGGCTGTTCTGAATGCCTCCACAGGTGCTGGCATCAGCGAGGCTTTAAGATGCTGGAAAATAGCACCTCAATCACTGAATTCCTATAAGCTGCACATGGTAGGAACCAGACGAGAAGCTGATGCTCTTTTAGGGTTGGACGGTGGGCACCCCACCGGGGTCTGAGTGCCTCTGTGATGGCACAAATCACAATCCAGCTCCCCCAGCCTCGGGGGTGCATTTCTGTGGGGCCAGGCGAGGTGAGGCTGTAGGTATGTCACACTTCGGGCACCACCCATCCACGCAGGAACACAAATGGTGCGCAGTGCAGTTTTGGCCCCGGCTGCCATCAGCGCTGAGGTCTGGGCACCCATCATACGGGGTGATGTGATGCATTCCTACACTGCACCTCCAGACCCCAACGCTGCCGAATGTTCCCGATGGTCACCGACAACAAAATGGCTCTCAAGCAAAAAGCGGGGAATTCCCTCCCAGCCAGGCAGCGCAGTAGGAATCCATCCCCCATACGGCCAGGCTTGCTGTGCCCGATCCTCACACGCCCATAGGGCCGATAGCCTATCCCATCCCCCCTCTGTGCCCCACAGCCTCGGCCCCACACACCCCTGTCCCCTACAAACCCACCCAGGAGAGCCCACCGCTCCCATCCCATGGGCGTCACCAAAGTACTGCAGATGGCTGAGCCCCCGTAGCCCCAGCATTCCCTACAGCCCCCAGGCCAGCGAAGCGGCCCCGTAGCCTCACCACCCCCTGTTTGGGGGCCAGGTGAGCCCCCCACAGCCCCCGGGATCATGGGAGCCCCGCAGAGCCCTTAGACCAGGGGAGCCCCCACAGCCCCTGCCCCTTCCATAGCCCCTAGATCCGGGAAGCCCCTCCATGCCCTCGGCTCCCCCCATAGCTTCCGATCTGGGTGACCGCAACTCCCGGACTCCCCCCCTCCCCCCGTCCAGAAATTCCCGCTAAAGGAGAACTCCAGTCCTCTACACTCCCCCATCACCCCCCCACTCCACGTGAACCCCTACACCCCCATTCCCACAGACTCCCACCTGTTCCATCCCCCCCCTTATCCCCATCCCCCATAAAAACACCCCCCCTTGCCTCCCACCCCACCACTTCCCATACA